AGGTGTTGAATTGCATAGTTAACAGTTTGCAATTAAATAGATCCTACAAAAAGAAATAGAACACAAAATAAAAAAAAACAACCACCCAAATTTGATTTTTTTAAAAACTTTTGGTCACGGATTCTAACGTGCTATAAAAAAAAAAAACCACCTTAGAATTGTAATTGCCAAATCCAGACATTATTTCTTAATACCTGGCTATATTACTTGCTATAGAAAATTTTGGAATAAAAACACAGCAATCACTGTGCTTCATATTTACATGGTTTCTTTAAATCAAAATGAACAACAATCAACTCAATTGTCTCCTGAAATCACTTGTTCAGGTATAATAAAAAGCAGAATGCTGTTAGGATAATTCTAATCTCCCCTTCCACATAATATAAATCCCTCATGCAATATTATAGGGTATTCTGCCATATTCATATTAATTCTTTTTCCACATGTTTCAACTGACATGCAATCACCGTTTCATCTCTTTATGAAAATAACCACTAGTAAAAGAATACAAGTCAGATACTTAAGTACATTACCATCCATAAAGATTTCAGAAGTATTTTTGGTTTGCATAATATACAAATGTATATTTGACTAAGTGATTTTTCCATTTGCTTGAAATTTGATAGCATTAACCCTGCCTGTCCAACACAAATTGCAGAATATAGCTAACCCTAAATGAAGCATTTAAAACTTGGTGAGCATAATACAAAAATCAGATACTAAACTTTTATTAAGATTTGCTTAGGAATTCAGGTACAATATTCAAAATGATACAAAATAGGTTCTCAAACATTCTCAAAATATTTCCCACTACAAGATTTATCTGGTATCACTTGAGTCCTCAACTTAAATAAGTTTTGTTTTTCATCATTTAAATGATTGCTCTGGGGCAGGACTGAGGGGTTCAGTATGAAGGCTGCCCTGGGGAAAAGAGGACAACCCTAGCCCTCTCCCCATATGACGTTAGCTAAGCCAACAGAAGCATTCTTCTGTCAGCATATTTGTGTCTACCCCAGAGGTTTTACAAGAATAATAATGCTGAAGGAGGAGGAAGGTGATTTTTTTTTTTCAAACTCCTAGCCAAAGTAGCTATGCTGGTAAAACGTTGTACAGACTAAGGGCAGATCTACACTGAAAACTAATATCAGCATAGCTACATCTCTCGGGGAAATTGTGAAAAAATCTGAAGCAATCTGTTCTGTCCTTAAAAAGCTATACACTTACACAGCTGATAATTTGGGTTGCATAGCTACATTTTCCCAGGGAAAATTCACATCCAAGAGATGTAGATATTCTGACCTAAACCTCACTGTAGACAGCACTAGGTCAATGGAAATATTCTTCATCAACTTAGCTACCACCTCTCAGGGATGCGGATTAACTATGGTGAAGGGAGAACGCCTGTCACTGTAGCACTGCATCTATGCCACTGTGGAGCATTTTATGACAGTCAACCTCCAATACAGTAAAACATTGCTAAATTGCATCCCCCAAAATTAGCATCCACACAAATTGCAGCCTCACCTTACCTCTCAACAAAAATGTAATACCAGAGCTCTAAAGTGGTGTTTCCTATTAACAGAATTAGGCGTATGTGGCTGCACAGTATATTTTAGAAGTGCTACATAACTCAGCTTCACAATCTAAGTTTTTATTTTGAATATTAACTATTTAGATATTACACTTATGTCTACTTTAGCATTTTGGTGGGAATCTTCCACTACGACAAGCACATCTCTGCCTGTGGTAGTAATGGAAAGAGAGCATAGACTGAGGATAAGACACTTCTACTACTGTTTAAGAGATGTCCACGAGTCAATACAGTGGTAACATTGTGAACTTAACTAATGCAGTAATGTCTTCCTGATTCTGCAGGCTAAAACAACATGTCAGAGAAGTATGAACTGGTCCCATTGGTCTCAATGGCAAGTTAACTCTGAAGCCCAATGACAACAAACTGTCAATTATTTCAATAGAAACATTGTTGAATGATATTGGAGTGTGATGCAGTAGGAAAACTAGTTGTTAAAGAATTGCAGAGGATGAGAAGAATAAAAGC